GCTATTTTATAAAATAGGAAGTTTCAATGACATATTAATTGAGATTCTAATCTTATTAAGAAAGTTTATTTATTTATTTTCCAAATTTTACAAACAAAAACAAATAGTTTTTTAACTTATAAATTTGACCCAGGCAGGTCAATGTATATAATCCATTGGATTTATTATACCTGTTTGGGATGAAAAAGCTATAAAATTCTTGGTCTCACACAAACCCATCTCCTTTCATGGCTCTCTCCTTCTGAAGGCACAAACCTTTGCAGTTATAGCTTTCAGTCCATCCAAGTTATTATATCATGATTCATGCTCTAACTTTCACACCCAATGTAAAAGTATGCTCATCTACAACCACCTAAGCCTTTTGAATAATTAAATTGGGCACTTGATTATTTATTGGTTAGATATGCTAGAAAGCTTTAGGTCAATAATGGTGTGTTTTAGGCTTTGATGATGTGCTTCTCGGCTAAGAGTCCAAAGTGGTAGTTTTGATGAGTATGTTTAGGAGACTAATGAGATAGAAAGCATAAAATATGTATTGCTTTATACAAAGATTGATTCGCAATTACACCGTCAATGCATTTTACTGTTTTTGCGTTAATAACAAATATTACGATGTTGAACCATTATACATATGAAAATTGTTTTACCATCAAAAAAACAATCCTTAAGTTTCAAGCAATATATACAAATTCAAATAGAAATCCAATGAATTTTTGAAAGATTGTAATATTTGAAGCCTACCCACTAATTCTTAATAGAAGACATAAATTCAAAATGGACAAACTTTCAATTTCAATGGAAAAAGACACACAAAGAAATGGGTACAAGAAATGAGATGAGTTATACACATGGTCTCTTGACTGAGCCGCCTTGGTCAAATTTGTGAGTCAAAAAAAAATTGTCTGAAAAATATTTGAATTGGAAAAAAATTAAATACACTTTCCTATTAAGTTTAGAGTTGCGATTAGAGAAAATCCCACTTTGCCCTCTGAATGATACAAATTTTTTTACTTTGCCCACAAATGATTAATTTTTCATATTACCCCTGAAAGATATTAAAAGGTTGCAATGCAGTCCATCGTTATTTTTCCGTTTGTCCATCATTATTTTTTTGTTTGTCATCCGTTTGATTTTGTTTGCACGTGAGAAGAAGAGGGGTTGTATTGTAAAATCATTTTTTGTGCAAACCCACTGACTTAGAGGGTTTTGGGTCTTATAACTCACCGGCGGAAATTGACCGGAACAATACCGGCACAGTATTGGGCATTCTTGAGGAACATGGGCATGGCGATGTCGAAGTGGGTTCGAGGAGGGTTGCACCACCCACCATTGTCATTTGGTAAAGCATAGTTGGGTGGACAAAAGTTTGTGGCGGTGTCAAAATGGAGGGTCTTCCTGGGTTGCACCACCTTGGATCTTCGGCGCACTTGATCTCGAAGCAAGCTCCGACCATTGTTGAAAAGGGCTGTGCTCAGTGCCGCCGTGTTTTCCTCCGTAGCCTTGGCTGTACATATTTCCATAACCACATGCTCCACCTGAACAAAACAGCTAGCAATTACAACTGCAAAAGGGGGGAATTGCTACACTCAAATGACATTGGTCCTTAGTGGCTAGGCGTTTCGCAAACCATGGACGGCAATGGAACTAATCCCACCGGTGGTGCAGCCGGAAACTTGAAGAATGCAGTTATAGCATTTCTGGTTCCTCTTCCCTCCATTCTATTCTACCTCTCCTTCCTCCGCCATTTTCATGATCATCCTATTATAACTGGTGATGGAGACTCTCTCGCTTATCTGTGGACATGGTGCTATAGCCACCCTCTACTGTTAGCCAACCTCCTTTTCTTCCTCAACGTTAATGTCCTCTTCTGGGTCATTGGTCTGATCCAATCTAGCCAATGACTTGGGTTTGGGGTATTAGGCTCAGCCACAACTACTTCCCTAGTGCACAGAGTCTCTGTAATGGTTTGATACAGGGGAAGAAACAGAGCACAAAACAGAACAAATTAGCTTCAGTGGGAACTAAACAGAGAGAGAGAGAGGTAGAGGAAGACAGGGTTTGCACAGAAAATGATTTTACAATACAACCCCTCTTCACGTGATAACAAAATCAAACGGATGACAACGGAAAAATAAAGATGGATTGCATCGTAACCTTTTAATATCTTTCAGGGATAATATAAAAAAATTAATCATTTGAGACAAAGCGAAAAAATTTGTATCTTTCAACAGACAAAGTGGGATTTTCCCTTGCAATTAATATGTTATTAAAACTTCATATTTAGTAAATAGCTAAACTTGGTAGGTGTGGTTCATGGGCCAGCCCTCAAATTTTTTTTTCGGGCCGAGCCTAGTTAGGAAATACCCAAGTCCTTACTAGCACGGGTTATCGGCCGGGTCGAGCCGAGTTTTGAGTAGGAAAAAATTATCCACAACTCAACCCGCCATTCATTGGGCGGACCTTTATATATATATATATATATAAATATGTACCATTTTATTCCCAAAATTTTCAATTTGATATTTTTATAAATTATATTTTCAAATTAAAAGTAAAGTCAAAATAAACAAAAAAATAAATAATAAATAATTTTATTTAAATAAAGTAGAGTTATATATTGCCACTAAACTTTTAAAATTTTAATAGTTAATGTTTTGTCAAACAAATGAGTGGAAAGGCGGGCGGGTCGCGCTTAGCTTGGTGGATGGGTTATTGGGCCAATTTTGTGAACAGACTCATGGGTCAGGCTTGAGGGCAAGCCTAAGCCCTCTCTTTAAGAATATTGAATTTGAGGTGGGATCGGCGGAACAACTATCAAACTTATTTTTTGGGTCGGGTAACAGTTTATTGGGCGAACCCGACCCATTGACACCCCTAGATCTTGCTAATTTATTTTTGGCTTCTTTGATTATGACCATTAGATCAAGATCTAGTAGCTCACGTAAAAAAATACTTACTTAAGGCTATAGTGCGAAGCTTTCATGATCGGTTACTCAACTTCAAAATTCTGTTAGTGGACTGAAAGAGAGCTGGATCAATTCTGCTAGTGGGCTGAAGAATATCAACTTCAAAAAAAATTGTCTTTGACTACGAAAAATTTCCTAAATCAACTTACCCCCCTTCCCAAAACAAAACCTCTCTAAATCAATTTGAGATATTAGATAGATCAGTAATCGAAGATCTAAATAATATTTATGGGTCTTCCTTAATGAGGCTGCAGAAAATATTGGTAGCTAGGTTAGGAAAGCTTTTCATGCATGTGACAATATATACACATGAAAACCATTTGAGTAATGGAAGAGTCTATTATGCTATTGACAATATATACAAATTTTGATATCCGCAAACGGTCCATTATTTGTCATACATATCTCCTACCTCTAATATACATATGTATATGTATACAATGCGTATCTATGCACAGTACTCGGAAGCTCATAGGCTAAGAGTACGTATGTATCCATGTCCAATTGTCCATGCACTGTAGGCAGAAGTAGAATTTGTCAAATCCGCTTTTCAAATGAAGTCGGATTTGCCAAATTCGCTTTTAAAACAACGATAGTTTGATAAATAGGGTATATTGGTAATAGATTCAAGAAAACCATGATGTCCTTTTGTCCTCGCCATAATGGTCAGGCCTTGCTTTTTCCATCTCTCTCTCTCTCTCTCGACCTTTCACTTTCCTATGGATTTTTTTTGAAAAAATTACACTTAAGGTCCTGAGAATTGTTACTTAATTACTTAGATCTCCTGATATTTAAAATATTACATACAATTTTTTTTTAGGATTATACGCACATAACACTTAGACTTTTATCAACAATGTCCATTAATATATCTATTAGCAAATTATACCTAGATTTTCTAAAGTTTATAAGCGTGCAACACTTAGACTCTTTAAGTTTAAAATATTACACTTAGACAAAAAATATTCTAATTAAAGATGAAATATCAAATAGTTTAAATTTTATAACCAAGATTCACGATCTATTATATCATTTATTGAAATAAAATTAAAATTAAAAATTAAATTTTTTAATAAAAAATCATAATTAGTATTATTGATGTCAAAATTTGGACGATTTATACGTTCGTTTGTTGGGCTTTCCAATGCCTTGAGAAAGAAGTCGAAAACCAGAGGGGAGCTCCAGAGGTCGACTCTCCGATGCCTCCTAAGTCAATAAGTGACTCAAAAATATGAACTGTGTATAAATATATCAAAAAATTAAATTCAACACTCACTTGCATGTAATTATAGTATTATATTATCTATTAGAATAAAGTTAAAAAATTAAATAAGAGATCAAACTGTAATGAATACATTACCTTATATATTTAATTAGAGTAATTTGATCATTTAATAGATTTGGTAAGTTCCGCAACTAATAAAGGGTTTAAGTGTAATATTTCAAAGTTGAAGGGTCTAAATATTTTATGTTTATAAACTTTAGGGGTGTAGGTATAATTTATTAATAGATAGACTAATGGACAATGATGACAAGAGTCTAAGTGTTACGTGTATATAAATCTCAAGTGTCTGTGTATAATATTTTAAATGTTAAGAATGTATTAAGTAACAAACTTCAACATATGCGTGGAATATATATATATATATATTTTTTTTTGGCAAGTGTCGCTGCCCTTACCTTTTATAAAAAAAAAAATTAAATTGAAATTTTCATAATTTTTTTTTAAAAATCTTCTCAAATTCTACACACAAACTCGTACCAAGAGAGAATGATTGATTTTCCATATAGCATTGCTCAATTTTCCATTTACACCTGAAAGAGGTAGACGTAGGTGTACACACACACACGGAGATGACACAGCTAAGGAAGAGTAGGTGGGTTCCTGTTTCCCTTCTCTTACATTGGGCGATCAAACTTTTGTTGTTCTCTTGACTTGTAGTCAGCTTGGGTCTCTTTCTTTATTAATTATTCCATTCCATCATTCATACACACTTTTTTTTTATTATTATTATTATGGGCATCTTTTACTATACGTTGGAGCTTTGAAACCTCAAAAGCATAAAGTTGGGTAATATAGATTTGCAAAGTCCATATTATCAGGGAGAAGCATTACTCTCTTTAGCAACAGTTCTGGGTTTTCTTCTTCCTGTTATGCTTTCCTAGTTGGTTGGTAAGCGACCTTTCTGTCATTTTTTCTGTGAATGTGTGTGTAATATTAAGTGTTTGAGAGTGTGTGTTTTCGAGGTTTCTAATGTTTGGAATGATAAAGGATTTTGGGCACTAAATAATATAAAGAAGAAGGAGAGATGATGACGACGACGACGACAACATCTTCGAAGAAAGCAGAATCCAGGCCGGGTCAAGGCTTGATCGATTTGGTTTTCTCTTGGTCCATTGCTGATGTTTGTAATAAGGATCTCTTCAAGGGAAAGGTTTGTCTTGCTTTTTATACATATATAATATATATCTAATATTACAGTTTTTTTTTTTAGATCTAATATCTAATATATCTAATATTACAGTTGAAAAATTGAAACCTTAATTTATAAAAGTATAACAATTGTTAATATTGATATAAATTTTTTTTTATTTTGATCTAATAGTTTAAAATTTATCCAAAAATTTTTTACCGGGCTCAAAGCTCCGGATGTCAGGTACCTCAACCAACACACTTTTCAATGCTAAATAATCTCACTAATTTATATTTTTCAATCTATTCATTTTAATTTTAAATTGTGTAACTAAAAATAAATATATAATATTTTATAATCAATATTTAATTTTGATATTATAGAATATCTTCGGACACGATGTTATATATATATAATTTCACTCCTATTATATCAGCCAATAACTACACCTTCAAACAAATTACTTTATAATTAGCCCGAGCCCAAATGGGATAGTAGTATTTTTTGTCACTATTACTTTCTTGTTTTATTAATTGCAAGATTGATGGAACTTAACACGATGTTATATGTATATATATATATAACCCATTTTATAGCAATCAATGCTTCAATTGCACTGACATTATGTCAGCCAAGTAGCAACGCCATCAAATTATTATGTGATTGGCCGGAGCCCAAATGGGGGTGGTAGTGTTTTTGTCTCTACTGCTTCTTCTTTTATTGATTTTTGATAGATTGATGGAACTTAAAAGAGTTTGTTTCAATTGCAAGGTAATTGTTCCAATTCTTGTGACGCTCCATCTTTCAAGCCATTTTTGCGATATACATATTATATAGCAACAAAGTAGTTTCCTGTAATATCGAAATAACAATCACCAATTGCTATTGAGTTCTTGAGAATGCCAAATCCATGTCATATCAAGTATTATAGTTGTTAGCTTGTGTTTTTGTTGCATGTGTGTTATGGCTGTGTGTTCTGATAAGTCTTGTACAAGTGAAAATTTTCATGTGTTTTACTCATGACTCTATTCTGTATCTTTGACAGGTGAGAGAAATCCCAAAAACATTTTCTTCGACAGCTGATTACATGAACTCATTCATCTACCCACTTATTGAGGAAACACATGCTAATTTGCTCTCAAACGTGACAAACTTGTCACGTGCACCTATGTGTGAAATTTTCGATGTTAGAATCTCTAAAGGCTTTAAGCCTCCCAAAGACTTGTTCTATGACATTTTCTTGAAGAGAATGAGAGAAGAGGAGAATGGCAAAGGCAAGTATGAGCCTGAGGTTGGAGATCTCATTGCCTTGGCAAATGTAAGACCGAGATGTATTAATGACCTTAACAGGCCTGAGAGATCCTATCTTATTGCTTTAGTTCAAAAGGCAACAGTTGAACGTCCTGATACACTTACAATATTGTCTTCACAACCCATTGTGTTTAATAAATCAGCTCCGGAAAAGGATAACAAGAGAGAGAAACTTTTTGCCATTTATCTTACAAGCTTGACGACAAATATTCGAATATGGAAAGCCTTGAATTCAGAATTGGAAGGGGGTAACATGAACATCATTGAAAAAGTGCTTCAAACTGATTCTGCGGTAAGATATACAATGTTTCACTTTTTTGCACATAAATATCCTTGCTGTTTTCCATTAAAGAGTACTGCTAAGTGCTAAACTCTTATGTTTGCATTTTCTGCATAAACAATGAAAATAATCGTGGTTTTCAGTCCTATGATACACACATCTATCACCTCCCCCGTTCTTGCAGTTCATTTTATTTTCACTCTTAAAATTTTCATTTTTGCGATTTCTGGTTGTATTTAGGCTGGTGAAAATTGTACACTCTGCTCCACTGAAGTAAATGAAAGTGTTCTATCAAAATCAAGGGAGGCCATTCGCTTGTCTAATCTAGATGAATCTCAAGAAGATGCTGTTTTGAGGTGTATTGCTACAAGAGAATGTGATCACAAAAACACTGTAAAACTAATATGGGGCCCTCCTGGGACAGGGAAAACAAAAACTGTTGCTTCGTTATTATTTGCCTTATTAGGATTAAAATGCAGAACACTTGGCTGTGCCCCGACAAATATCACTGTCCTAGGAGTTACAGCAATGCTTATGAATTTGGTAAGGGTTGCTCTTCCATATGATACCTATGGATTGGGAGATATTGTTTTGTTTGGTAATGGGGAGAGAATGAAGATTGATGATCATGAAGATCTTTTTGATGTCTTTCTGAATTTCCGGGTTTCTATTCTTGCCCATTGTTTTGCTCCATCTTCTGGGTGGAAAGGTAGGACAGAATTAATGATACGTCTGCTTGAAGACCCTGAAGAGGAATATAAACTGTATCGAAAAAAAATGAAAAATGATGACGAAGATCATGATGATGAGGATGAGGATGAGGATGAGGATGACGATGAGCAAGAGGATGGTGGAAATGGGAGATTAAGTGGCAATCAAAGCAAAAAAGATAAAATCAACGTCTTAAAAGTCATGGACAAAAAGAAAATTTGGAAGAAGTTCATTGGTCAAACCTTGAAGGAAAACAAGAATAACAAGAAGAAAAAGGCGTTATCTCGGGATAGAAAGCAATTGAAGTGTGATGAGGGTAAGGAAAATGAGAACAGCAAAGGAGAGGCGGCTGATAAATGTCACGGACTTTGGACATTTGAGGAGTTTGTCATTAAGAGATTCAATTCCATAAGTGAGCAGCTTATGTTTTGTTTTACCAACTTGTACACCCATTTACCTACTTCTTTCATTTCATTGGAGGTAGTAAAAAACATGATTAAAGTTGTTGGTTTGTTTCAAACTGTTGGAACTTTGCTGCGTAGAGTTGCTGTTTCAAATGAAGGCTTAAGAGAAGTCTTCAATGGAATTGAAGGTGCTGGAATAACGATGAGATACTATCGTAAGCTGCGTATGGCCAGAACTGAGTGTCTTCAAATACTCAAATTCCTTCTTGAAACATTTTATGTTCCAGATCTTACAGAGATCTATGATTCTAGAAGTTTTGAGTATGATGTTAGAAGTTTCTGTTTGAAAAATGCATGCTTGATTTTCTGCACTGTTTCAAGCTCAGCCAAGTTGCACACGGAAGGAATGGCACCACTGGAAATGCTGGTAATCGATGAAGCTGCTCAGCTTAAAGAATGTGAATCAGCTATTCCCTTAGAGCTCTTTGGTCTTCGCCATGCTATACTTATTGGAGATGAGAGGCAACTTCCTGCAATGGTTCAAAGCGAGGTTGCAACCAAACCTTGGTTCTGTTTATTTTTGTTTGAAATTCGTGAAGAAATTATTTATTATTAACATCTTAATCTGTTGCTAACAGACAAGTGAGAAGGCTAAATTTGGAAGGAGCTTATTTGAGAGGCTAGTTTTATTACAACAAGGGAAGCACCTTCTCAAAGTGCAGTACAGAATGCACCCATCAATAGGCTTATTCCCGAATAACGAGTTCTATTACAGACAAATTATGGATGGTCCCAATGTCAAAGAAAAGAAATATGAGAGGCGCTTTCTAAAGGGGACCATGTTTGGTCCTTACTCTTTTATATGCGTATCCCATGGTAAAGAGCAGTTTGATGATAATCATAGCAGGAAAAATATGGTGGAGGTAGCTGTTGTTGCTGAGATAATAGCAAGCCTCTTCCAAGGTAATTTTCTGCAATTAACTAATTTCTATTGGAAGTGCTAGTAAAGGGTTGGTGACATTCTTCTATGGCTATTTGTTTTGGTTTACTTCTTGAAGCTTGATCACTTAGGTGGGAATATTGATTATTGTTCTCCTTGTAGAATTTGTTACCACAAAACAGAAGGTCCGTGTTGGTTGTATTTCACCATACAAAGCTCAAGTTTTTGCAATCCAGGATAAACTTGGAAAGACATACAGTACAGATGTAGACAGCGAGTTCTCTGTGAATGTTCGATCTGTTGATGGGTTTCAAGGTGGTGAGGAGGATGTGATAATTATCTCTACTGTGCGATGTAATGGGAATGGAGCAATTGGTTTCCTTTCCAATCATCAAAGAGCAAATGTGGCTCTGACTCGTGCAAGGTATGACTTTCAAGCAACTGAACAAAATGTGCTCAAAGATGGTTTTTGTCTCTTAGGTGACTTTGCATGAAAAAGTGATGTTTGCTCTCTTTTTGTAGGTATTGCCTTTGGGTATTGGGGAATGAACCAACCTTGATTAAGAGTGGCTCTGTTTGGAAGAAATTAATCATGGATGCCAAGGCTCGGGGTTGTTTTTATAATGCTATTGACGATAGGAACTTGGCTCATGCTATCACAGGTGCCTTAATTGAGCTAGGCCAACTAAATACTTTACTCAATATGGATTCCCCGCTGTTCAGCATGGCAAGGTGGAAGGTATGCTGTCTTTGTTTTCTGTTCTCGTAATCATTCTTGTAATGTCAAATATTTCTGTGCTACGTAGAATGTCAAAATAGACTTAGTTTGATGTACCAACTAATATCTTCTTATATGAATAGTGACACTTGCTAAGAAGAATTAGAGAAATTGACTATTCTGTAAAGATTGAAGAGTCAAATTTTCTTTTTTTGGTTTATGGAGAGCAAGAAACTGCCTATTCCAAGAATAATTTTTGTATGTTTAGTACACACCACGTGGTAGAGGCAGGGGGGTGTGCACAGCCAATGAGAATCTGCCACAATGTTATCTTGTTAGACACCCGCAGTTCATCAATTTGCCAGAAAAAAAATTGATCCTAGTGTGTGATACACAACCAAAATTTCTCCTATTCCAAGACGTAGTTGACAACAATTGTATCACTCTTGGTTTTCTTATTTCTACCCTTTGAGATCCTGGTCTGAAAATTGAAATCGAATGGCTTAGACTGGTGTTCACAAATTTTGATCCTTAAATGGTCACAAGAATTTGTATCTGAGGTATTTCAAGATTTAAATTCTTCTCCTGTTAGTTAAAGTGAAATTAGTGTTCTCAAACAGTATGTGAGTTTTGTTTACTTTGTCTTTGTTATAGGTTTGCTTCAGTGACTATTTTCGGAGATCCATGGCCAGAATTAAGACCATAGAAATTTACAAGGCAGTTTTTTCCCTCTTGATGAAGCTTTCAAGTGGCTGGCGCGAATCTCAGAGTGATGGACTTCTCACAGACATGGCTCAAACTTCTGCTCAACTATTGGAGAATTACAATGTCAATGGGATATTAAATCTCATCTGGACTGTAGATGTCGTGAGGGACAAGTCAAAATACATCCAGGTTATAAAAATTTGGGATATTTTGCCAGCGCCTCAGATACCGGAGCTGGTAAATTATCTTGACATCTTATTTGGAGGATATACAGTGGATAATATGAATCGCTGCAAATGCAAACTTGTCGAAGGGTATGCACACCATAATCTTGCTTTCTTTTCCTCCTGTTCATTACTATTACATTTATGATTCATGAATTAGAATAGGATTTTAGCCATGCATAATCCTTATAATTTCTTGTGCACGTAACAATACCCTTCCTTTTTCTAGTGAGGCTATTTTCAGTGCTATCTTGGTGGTTGATTCCAACAGATATCGCAGGAACAATTTATAGTGATGCCACCACTTCCCCAACCGGAGAAGAAAGTGCCACCTTTTCCACCCTGGCTCTGCTAATCTGCTGCATTTAATAGTTGCTAAAGCTACCAGCCAGCCCTTCCTACGGTCACTACCCTCATTGTCCGCCCATTGCCACCAGATTCGCGCCCAGTTCCCTTGACATTTCTTCTAGACATGCTTTTTGGTGCTTCCAATGTTTATTTTACATGGAACAGTCATATAGACACTTCTCTTCAAGTCCTCGCTCATTGAACCTTCAAATCAGCAAAATCCCAAGAAGATTCTAATAAGTACTTCCGCAACCTATTCCAAACTCTATCAGACCTTAACCTTCCCAATATGTCACCTAACAATACTTTTTTGCTGAGATCACATCCAATGATTGGCGCACAAGGAAATTTCTTGCTTGCATTATAGTTGTTTAACTACATTGGTAAATTATGTGTTTTACGGGGGAAAATGAAATTTGTGAGGTTGAAACTCCAACAAGTGAGACTATGAAAAACTTACTTGCAACTTTTTGGCCACTGCAGGGATTTAGTGGTTCCAATGACATGGCCAGTGAATCCAATTCCAAATGCTGGCACTAGCTTAGCAAGTCAATTAGCTGCACTAAATCTGAGTAATGAACCAGGATCATCAACTGCCAGTTTTAGGCGAGTACTTGGTTCAAATCAAGACATTTACCGATACAAGCTCTAGTTCAAAACTCAAAAGTACAGGAGCTTAAAAGTTTTGTGAACACCTGATTTACCTTTCTCCTCCGTTCCGATTTACCAGCTTATCAAATTAACCATGGTTTCAACTTTCATTTATTTCGTTTTCCTATTAATGTATATCAGAAATCACAGGGAGAGTGGAGCAAAAGCCTTTGGGTGGAATTGATGGCAGAGTAAGGCTGCAAATTGGAGGTGAATTGCCACTTCTCTTTTTCTATGGGGTTTACTTAGAGGGAACAATTGTTTTGCAAAGTTTTATAAGGGTTATGATACTTTAAGCTAAGAATCCCTTTGGTATATTATTATTATTATATTCATTGTGGTGCTGTTTAAATTTTAGAATAGGATTATGCTCAAAGAAAAATGATATTTTTCAGGCATTTTATCTTCCAACTGGTTCTTTTTTGTTGCAGGCACTAAAAAAAAGCCCTCGTATGCATTCGATAGTTTCTCTATATCTTAAGACATTATATTATAAGGGAGGAATCCTTATTCCAAAAAAATATGGAGTGAATCTCTCATTTCTTTGGTAGTCATTTTTGGATCCAATTATGCATAGAATTTAAAAGGATTTGCCTGTGTTCTATGTAATCAAACTATAGGGTGATTTTATTGAAGAACATACGCTGTGATGTACATATCTCCCTCTATGGAGCTTGAATCAAGCTTCATCTGATATATAAGGTTGATGCTGTTTTTCTCTTTGGCACCATTAGTCTATGTTGGAGGTTTCTTGTGTTGATTAGTTTCTCTGTTATTCTCATTATCAGTACCAGCATCTCCTAAGAAGGTCCATTGTATATTTTGGGCTAGCAAATTTATTCTCCATTTAGCAGAGTGGGTTTGCTTGAGTTATTAAAGAGTTGTTTATCCCCGATATGGCATGAGGATTAGGTCTCACAAGTCACATGATGGCTATTTTCCTCATTTGGTTTAAAAGAAAAGGGAATAGACTAGATCCATGGATGCATATGCTTGTACATTAAAAAAAAGAGAGAGAAATGTACCCTTAGGATTCGTAGGTCAAATTGAATCACACCAACGTTATGAAAGTTCTCAGATAGTGTAAAATAATAGTACCAAAGAAAGCACAAACTCATAATTGTAAATGGTGAAAATGGAAAATTGGTAATGGAATTTCGCACAGGCAGAAATTTATATAGAATTAAAAGGCTTTGACAAGAGAGTCTTTTCAATCCAATCTTTTCTTGGGGTCAAATAAAGATTAAAAATGATATGCCAATGATTTAGCGTGACAAAGCATTCTCCAAGGGCATGGAATATCTCATTTTTTTAGTCAAAATCTCCATGATAATGTCTATTAGATTTTTTAGATCAAAATATGAGAAAACTATGTACAATTCTCTATGGAAACCCAGTTTTGCAAATCCTCCCAAGAGCTAGAAGAGCATTTTGAGATCTTCAAACATATTCAAGGAATCAATGTGATTATTGTCACTTTGGTTAACACATAAGATGAGATTTTACCGCCGTGAAGCAATGTTCTGCAAAATATATGAGATCACAAATGTAAATTGTTCGCAGCAACATATGAATTGAGATGAAAGCTTTACAAAGTCTTTTGTAAAGATTCTGATTTTATAGTGATGGGGGAGATAAATATTGTTATAAGTTGTTTAAGTTGCAAAAAAATAGTTCCTTTTGCACGAGTAAGAAATCGATGTATTTCATAGGTCACCCTCGTTTCATATGAGTTTTTTCAAATTATTCGTATCATTTCTCATGGATTAGCTTCTTGAGGTCCTTTGATAGGCATAAAGCAATCATCTTGGTAACACAAAATCAATAGAACAATAAACAAGATAAGTAATAAGGCATGCAAGTGTTACCTAAGTTGGGCTACCAAGTTAGGGAAGCAACTTTAGGAGACCATTAGGTTTTGACCTAGTAGGGTAGCACAACGGGATAATTTGGTAATTTGAATTAGTTATCCTAGTAAAAAAATTCCAGCCCCCTTAGATTTCTACTTATCTCCTTGTTTTATAAAGGTAGCTATTTGGCAGCTTCCATGCTTGTAGAAGCCTTTGATTACTGGGGAATTTTTGAAGTTAAGAGATGCAATTCTATCTCTTATGGTCTGGAGGATGGATTGCAACAACACTCTTTGGTCACAAGATTTGTTTTGATGGGCTCTATAATTTCTTTCTTGTCAAATCTGGTACACAGACACCTGGAGGCTGAGCTTCTATAATACTCTAAGCATTGATTTGCCCTTCCATCTAACAGCAACATGTTCTTGTACTTGCTGCAATGAGCAATTTTGCTGATGCTTTCCACTTGAGCTGCATTAAGTGGGGCCAAATGCAGTGTGAATATTGACTTTCAAAGAATAAGGGTTGGTGTGATTCATTAGCACTTTTGCAGAGTAAGCACTCCAATCCCAACTGAGGAGCATAGTGGTGGGTCCTATCCTATGGCTTAGCCTATTTCTTAAGCCCGCTCCAAGAATGAAGCTCATTCTGGTTGTAGCTTGGACATGCCATATTATTTGATACCATGGGGTAGTGGGGGATTACTCTCTTAGTTGGTTCCATGCAGATGCAGATGTGAAGATTCCACTGGGAAAAGCAGACCATTTGATCACATCTTCTCTATGGTGGTTAGGTGAATAACTGGGCATAGTGTTGTTGATTTCCACTTAGCTCTGGGGAGTTCAAGGACGGCCATTCCCTTTGATCACGGTTCATTATAATGGACACTTTAGCATCTTTTGGTAGTGTAGAGACCCCAATAATGTTGCTACTCCATTTGATTAATAAGGGTCCCTAAGGGTGCCAATTATCATGCCTGAGCTTGGTATTCTCACCATTTCCTATGACATGGACAACGAAAGGTCTAATGGTTTCCCTTAGCTTCAAAATGTTAAGCCAATTCCAAGAGCACTTTTGAAGAGCCTTAACCATCCATATACTTCTACATCTGAGGTGGTGTGATTGGATCCACCTAGCCCATAGACTTTCTTTATCTGTGAAGAGGACCAATATGTGTCTAGCTATGAAAGCAGAGTCACATTCTCTAATTCTTCTTGTGCTCAGACACCCCTCCTTTCTTGGCTTGCAAACCTCTTCCCAAGATACTTTTGCCCAGTTGATTTTAGTTATGTCCCACTCTATAAAAAAGACCTCATGATCCTCTCTAATTTTTCCATTTCCTGCTGTGGATTACACATGCTGGATGTCCAGAAAATTATGGTGCTGAATAACATTGGATTTATGAGTTGGAGTCTTCCAGCAAAGGATAGATATCTATTTGCCCATTTCCTAACTTTTGTTTCCGGTTTATCAATAAGGAGGTTACAATCAATGCTTTTCAGTTTAGTTGTTATCAGTGGCACACGCAGGTACTTCATAGGAAAGCTGTCCAAGGAAAATCCTAGAATATTTTTAATATGAGCAGTTGTTCTTCGAGTATTGCCGCCATAAAAAAATTGTTTTTGGAAGGGTTAGCTTACAACTCTAATAACTCGTGAAAGATATCTAAAGAACTTTCTAGGATTTCAACAGATTGAACATCTGCATGGCTGAAAAGAAGCAAGTCATCTGCAAGTACAAGGTGGGTGAGTCTCAATTTTTTTTGCATCTTCAATGATACTTGAAAGTAGGATTGGCTCTCACTTGTTGAGCAATAATTGTGATGGCCAAGACTTAGGGCCCAACTCATGTTATGAGCCTAGTCTGAATTAATAGCCCAATTCCAGGAGATCCAACAAGTCAAGTCGAAAGTGCTCCACGCCCGATCAAAATCATCAGGTTCGAAGAGTTACATCAGCAGGAGGGCATGCAGGGTCATCCAAGAGCCTCATCCACGCAGCCTTGAAAAGGGTTAATTCCCCACGTCATCCTTTGACCGAATCTCATGGAGACCACCGTAACCATCTTGCCCGTTGAGAAGAGGTTGCTAGATCCAACAGACTAGCCACTTTAGTTACTAATATTTCGCCCAAATCTATTAGAAAGATGACTATAAATTGTAAATCCCACCAATACTTGGGAGGCATCACACTCGGTCGAACATAACTTTCTCCTCTCTCTCTCAGGTTGTAACTTTCTGCTCGTCCTACTCACTTGAAGTAATAAAGTACCCGACATCCTAGCTATTCAAAGTGGACATAGGTCACGTTGATCAAACTACTATAACTCTTGTCTCATCTTGCTTATTACCTCTCTCTATTTTAAGTACTGCATTTATTACTGCTTATCTGGCAGGTGGTGTACAAACCCAATTTGTGCATCATCAAATTGCAGTGAGAACCTCCATTGCCATGACAAAAAGGTGTGGGAAGAGAAGATTCCCTTGCTTAAGCCCTCTATAGCACTGAAAAAAACCAGTCAATTCTCCATTAAGGTTCATAGAAAATCTGGGAGTGGTGATGCACACCTGTATCCAATGCCTCATTCTTCTAGGAAACCCCATGGCCTCCAACATATCAATTAAGAAAGTCCAGTTAATATTATTATATACATTCATAATGTCCACTTTGGCTACATATCTGGGGCTTCCAGTGTTTTTATGATAGTTTCTTACTATCTCTTGGGTGAGGAGGATGTTATCTCCTATTTTCCTACTGGGGATGAAAGCAGTCTGGCTAGGGTTGAAACACACCTTTGATTCTGTTGGATATGATTTTAGAGATTTTAGAGATGACTTTATATAGCACATTGCAACAAGAGATTGGCTAAAAATCCTCCATGGAGGCTAGGTTTGAGTTCTTTGGCACCAAAGAAAGAATGGTAGCATTTAGCTCCCTGAGAAGACTTCCATTTCTAAAGAACTCTCTGATAGCATTAATGATTTTACCCCCTATGATAGACCAAGCCTTTTTGAAGATGTAACAGTTATAACCATTCGGGCCTGGGCTTTCATGTCATTGAAGGAGAAAAAAACTTGTTTAATCTCTTTAGCCTCAATTTCATTAGTCAGGTTAGCAGCTTGTACTTCACTAATTTTGCTCAATTGACAGGATTGAATGAATTCTCTTCTTTCCATTGGGTCAATAGTTGAACCATTTCCCCCAAGGAGCCTTTGAAACTATTGGACAATTTTATTTTTCATTGTTTCCTCTCCTTCAATATCTCTACCATCCGAGGATTTCTGGGTAAGTATCTTCTTATTCCTTTTATTCACCATTGATTTGTGGAAGAAAAAGGTGTTTTTATCCCATTCTTTGAGCTAGTCGACTCTGGATTTTTGCTTATAAAAAATTTCTTCCATTATGGCTGCTTTAATACATTTAGATAATAATTTTTTCTTCTCCTCTCTCATTGTCATATCAAAAGGGTTAAGGTCTAGATTTCTTTGTCACATTTGAAGAACAACTTTCCTCCCATTAGCTTTAATAGATATATCTCTTAGTTCCTTACCCTTGATGTTGAAGATATCTTTAAGCTTCTTTAGTTTCTTGCAAACTCTAAATTGATAGGAGCCAGGCATGTTTTCACACCACATTGTAGCAACTATTTGTAAGAAATCCTCTTTGTCAGCCAAGAAATTATAAAATTTAAATGGGCATTTCCTACTAGTGGCCTCACCCACCTTGACCAAAGCTGGACTATGGTCAGAAATCCCTGCTGGAAGGAATTCTGCAGTGCCGTGTTCAAGCCTTTGTATCCATTCTTCATTGGCCAACAACCTATCAAGCTTCCTAGATATGCAAGCATCCTCCCTTCCTGTTGCACCATGTGAAAAGAATCCCAGAGAATCTCAA